TTGGCAAGTGTGCAATTAACTTCTAATGATGAATAATTACTGTTCAATAAGTTTGAATACGGACTAAGAAATCATATAACTTGGTTTCATAGTGCGGTAAGAAGTTGCAGTTGCCTGACGGCCCCTCTCTGGGGGCCCCTTTGGAAACCGTTTCATCTCGCTCGCACCACTTGTGTTTACTGCCTAGTCAGGTGACGTTATCGGCGCTATTTTTAGCAGGGCTTTCCCGAACAATTCAAGTGGTCAAACTGGACATTTGGAACGGACTATGAATATGGAGATAGCGAGGTAACATAAGTGGAAGTGCATACAATACATACACTCATTAAAAATAACGCCTTTTCACGTGATGTCCCTTTAAATTGACATCATATAGACGGAGCCATGTTAGTGTTGCAGTGTGTAAGGGGTTGTACTTGATATTGTTTGATTCTCTATCTTAAGATAGATAAACGTTTACAAGTTCACGCTGACGTTGTATTTAAGACAATTAGCAAGTGTTCATGTGGCAATCAAGATTTATTTTGAAAACACATTATATCCAAGTGCACATAATTACTTGGTCGTATTCTCCTCAAAGTTATCTAGGGTTCCCATCTAAATATTTCCTTTTTATCATAGTTGTTTTTGCTTCATTGATTTTGACATCGAAAAACCGTTTTGTTCAAAACGTTGGTGTCGCCTCTTTGTTATTCTGAAACCTACTAATCAATATAACATGTACAGTACCAGTTATTTAGGATAACTTATGACATCTGAGTACGCTTGCGCTTGTAGTGTGTGTAGCCGGTTTTTATGGCAGACAATGTTTAAAGTCGTGTGACAATTGTCATGGTGAGTTGTGACAAGGGCACTGGAGACTGAACGACAGGGTGTACAGATGGATGGACTGGAAACAAATATGACAACAAAACAATTTATAAAAGTGATCTCTTTTGTATTAAATGATTGATTACAACCCAACATGTAGAATATAATATCAAAGAAACACCCCGATCCGAATAATGAAAAGGAGGGACAATAAATAAAAATGATAAATAGGGGAAAATGTATGACATACGCAGTGAAAATGCATTACTTTTTATGCTATAGTGGTAGCTATAATGGATGAAGACGCCGCTGTCGGGATAGGCATCGTATCTGGATTGTTTTTATTGGCTCTGGTCA